TATACGAAGTTATACGAGTCGAGCGCGTAGCCCGACAGCGGCACCGCGCTGGACCGACCGATCTCGTAGACCGAGGGCTTCTGCAAGGCCGGCTCCAGCGCGGCCCGCTCGTCGCGCTTGCACAGGTCATTGCGGCAGCCGGCGCGGCGAGCAGCGGCGTAGGTGCTGACCTGGTAGATGTCCCGCAGCGGCGGCGTGCCGGCCTGCAGGTCCACGCCTGACGCAGCCACCGGCAGTGGGTAGAAGGCCAGCGGCAGGCTGCTGGCCACGACGAGGTTGCGCGTGAACGCCTGCGTGCGCGGATGCAGGTAGCGCGCGTCCATGTCCGTCGTGAAGAACATGCGGTCGGAGAAGTCCTCGTGCAGCGCCTGCAGCACCAGCAGCTTGTCGTGCACGTCGTTGGCGAAGATGCCGATGGCGCCGATCGGCAGCCGCGTGGGGTCCGGTCTCGCTGCGCTTGAGCTCGGCGCCCAGACGGCGCAGGTAGTCGAGCTGGTCGCGGCTCTCGGGCCACTCAAGCGTGACGGTCTTGGACGGCGGCCCGCTCGTCGGCGCGCCGGATTCACGGGTCGTCACGCCGTCGATGCCGCGGAAGAAGTAGATGACCTCGATCCTGACCGGCTGGTCCTTGGCGCGGCTGTCGGGCAGCCGGTACTTCAGCTCGCTGACGAGCGACTGCGCGTACAGCGAGTCCCGCTCCGCCACGATGACCACGCGGCGCCCCTCGTGCGGCAGCCGCAGCGCCAGCTCGCCGACGATGCGCTTGATCAGCTCGGCGTCCGTGCCGATCGTGCGCACCATCTGCACGGGCCGCACGGGGTTGACGCCGGTGATGCGATTGAACTGGTCGGTGACGAAGGACTCGAGCTTCTGGTCGCTCAGCTCGCTGATCATGCTGTTCGGCGCGGTGGAGGCCGAGTTGTAGAACTCCGCGCGGGCGAGCAGTTCGTAGCCCTCCTGCAGATCCGGCGGGAGCCCGCTGACCGCCCCCGCCACGCCGGACCCGCAGCGCGCCG